CTCTGCCTCCCAAGTGCTGGGATTAAAGGCGTGCGCCACCACTGCCCGGCAAGTTTTTAGAGTCTTTAACCCCCAAATATTGAACTCATATTGAACTTGCAACATACAAGACAAAGCATGTGCATGTGTGTAAACAGATTCTGTGAAAGGGTTTATCCTGGGGAAGGAAAGAAAACAAAACCCCCAAACAAACAAACAAACAAAATAAAAGATGAATCATTAAGCCAGGTATGGTGCTACACATCTGTAATGCCAACATTTGGAAAATGAAGATGTGTGTGTGTGTGTGTGTGTGTGGTGTATATGTTTGTAGTGTGTATGTGTGGTGTGTGTATATGTGGTGTATGTGTGTGTGTGCACACACACACAAGCAGTTCCAGGTCATTCTAAGGTACATAGGAGTTTAAAAGGTCCCATCTAAAAACAACAATAACAGAGATTGGGGGGCGGAGAGATAGGAAGCAAACACCAAAAGGAGGAGAAAGAAGGAAAAAACAAAAGAACTATAACTATTTCCGACAAAAGTGCTTAAATAACCCTTGTGAGGGGATGGCAGAAGGCTCCGTTGCTAAGCAACGATTGCTGGCAAGTTCCGTTCCTGGAATCCATGTAAAAGTAGGTTGAAACTGAGTCTACAGAGTTAAACTGCACATATATGTCCCTTTAAAACACACACACACACACACACACACACACACACACGCACGCACGCGCGCGCGTGAACTGGAGAGCATGTGCTGCTTTTTGTGGAGGACCCAAGTTCTGTTCCCAGCACTAGGCAGTACACAACCTCCTGTAATGCAGCTCCAGGGGATCCAGTGCCTTCGACCTACACTGTCACATGCCCTCGTCTGCATGCACTCGACACAGACATAATTAAAAATAATACAAATAAAAACTTAAATATATATTGTTGTTGTCGTCCTTGGAAGACTTAGGCAGGATAGCCACGATTTTGTGGCCAGCCTGAGCTACATGATAAGATCCTGTCTCAGCCGGGCATGGTGTGTGCACGTGCCTTTAATCTCAGCACTACAGAGGCAGAAGTAGGCGGATCTCTGAGTTCGAGACCACCCTGGTCTACAGGATGATTTCCAGGGTAGCTTCGTGGTGAGAACCTGTGTCAGATGTTTGTCCAACAGTTCCTCAAAATACTAGTGATCTTGAATTTCAGTTTTTTGCTTTCGCAGTATGACTAGACGAACACGTGTTTTCCTGGAAAACGTCCCGTGGCTCTAAGTGTTTGGGGGACGTTCTTCTCTCTCTGTTTCTTCAACAGTATCTCCGAATGCCTTGAACCTCTGGTCTCTTTCCTGTAGGTTTCAGGGTCTCCTTGCAATCCTTGCTCGCGGTCTTCCTGGGTCGTGTGGCCTGCGGTTCCTTTAAGGCAGGCCCCGCCTCGGTCCGCCCTCCCGGGTCAGCCCCGGTGCGTAGGGCTCTGGCGGGGCGGCTGCTGGGCTCAGTGCGGAACGGGCTCTGGCGGGATGGCGAGCGCGGCCATCAGGGTCGCCGGGCGGCGGCTGAGCCACCAAAGCGCATCCGGAGCCCCGGTCCTCCTGCGGCAGGTACGGAGAGGCGAACGGACGAACGGATCCTGAACCTGGGGCGGCGGGAGGGGCAGGACTAGGACTCCTCTGTCCTTTAAAGGAGATCTGGGGTGTCCTTCATGCCTGGCTGTTGGAAATTAAGGAGTCCCGATCCTTTAACAGGGAGTACTCAGGGGGACCCTGGGCTCGGGTTTGGGGTCTGGAGTTCATTGCCAGAGAAGCGCGGGTCCTTGACTTGGGGGTTGTTTGAAGACGGAGTTTCTTGATTCTGCTGGAGGGACCAGGGGGACTCCCTGATTCCTGATCCTTGGGCAAAGAGGGTTGGTGTTGTAGCTTCAAGATTTTAGGAAGAGGCTGGAGGGGAGGCCTGGATTCTGTGTCCCCAGGCGTGGGAGTCAGGTCCAGGAACTCTCTCCGGTGCCCCACCCCTCCCAGATGTTTGAACCCAAGAGCTGCACGTACACCTACCTGCTGGGTGACCGGGAGTCGCGAGAGGCCGTCCTGATCGACCCCGTTCTGGAGACAGCGCATCGGGATGCTCAGCTGGTTAAGGAGCTGGGGCTGAGGCTGCTCTATGCCGGTTAGTCCAGGACCAAACGTGGGCGTGAGAGAGGCGGGGCCACGGAGAAAGCACTCTAGGAAAACAGGAGCCTGAGTCCGGGGGAGGAGGGCTGGTGGCTGGACCCTGGATCGGGGAGGACTAGACCCCACGGTCTGAAACAGGATGATTGAGTCTGAGTCTGAGAGTCTGAGGGAGAAGAACGGAGCCTGGAACTCTGGGCCTGAAGGAGGAGGATTGGGCCTAGACTCCTGGGTCTAGGGGAAGAGGGCTGGAGTCTGGACCGCTGGATGAGGGAGTGGGTTGGAGTCCAGACCTCAAGGTTTGAGGGAGGAGGATTAGGGTCTGCCTCGGGTCTGAGGGCTGGATGCGATGCTGTGGACTGAAAACATTCCGTTTTCTATGCCCTCTTCTCTCCCAGTGAATACTCATTGCCATGCTGACCACATCACAGGCTCAGGGGTTCTCCGGTCCCTACTCCCGGGCTGCCAGTCCGTCATCTCCCGCCTCAGCGGAGCCCAGGCTGATTTGCATATCGGGGAAGGTGATTCCATCCGCTTTGGACGCTTTGTGAGTTGGGTGTTGGGTCTTAGAGAAGATAGTGTTGGCTTGAGTTCCTTAGATTTTGAAGAGAAGAGGGTACTGGGCGAATGGGCTGCTGGGTCCTGTGGAAGAACGGTTGGTGGAGTTAGGCTCAGAGTCCTCAGTTCTCTTCTCTGTGGAAAGTACCATAAACCCAGGCGGAGCACTAGGGCAGGAGGCTGTAGGCAGGTGTGGCTCTGGCCAATCCCCCTAAGTCAACAGTGATGGCAGGTTCTTGCCTGGCCGTTTCCTTAAAATTTCTTCCGGGTTGGGCATTCTGAGTCTAGAGCTGAAGGAGGCACCTAGCCTTTTGATGAGGAAGGAGCACCCTGTTGTTCAGCGACAGGTATGAATGATTCTACTGAGGTCCCCCGGGGCTACCAGTTAAGGTAGCATTCACTGGCATGGTGGTATAAATTCGGGGTTAACCAAGTATTTGTGGGTTCCTCCTTAAATGTTGGCCTTGAAGTCTCCTCACCATAGCGACAACCCCATTGCCTCACCCAGGAGAGGGGTGAAGGCTCCTCCTCCTCCTCCTCCTCCTCCTCCTCCTCCTCCTCTTCCTCCTCCTCCTCCACTCCCTCCTCCTCCTCCTCCTCCTCCTCTCTCTGCTACGTGCTTACTCAGCAGGTTTCCAGCCAGCTTTTGCAAGCCAGGGTGCTCTGGACAGAGGCTGGGGGAGTTGTTCCCAGAGGGAGGAAACAGGTGATCAGAACTGCCCAAGTTGTCGTTTGGCTGATGGAGGGGACAGAAAGTCTGAGTGAGGTCCCTGCCCCTAGGTTGTTGTTGGTCGTGTGGAATGGGGCCGTTTACTCGGAGGGAGGCGGTTAGTGGAGAGGAGGGCTGTGCGCTCGGTTGAGGGAGTGTAGCTGCTGTTTGGAGACTTTGATTCCAACCCTGTAAATATTTGGAAGTGGCTGAGGGACATAGCTCGTCTGTGCCTGCCCTACTAGTTAGAGAGTAACGAGAGTTTCTGGATTTGGGGAGGAGTGTGAAAGTTCGGAAGGCTCTGGGCTCCAATCTTCCTAGCGCTGTGACCCTTTAAAACAGTTCCTCGTGTTGTGGTGACCCCCAACCTTAAAACTGTTTCTGTTGCTACTTCATAACTAATTTTGTTACAGCTGAGTCATAATAGACATATCAGTGCTTTCTGATGATCTTAGGGGACTGCTGTAAAAGGGTCGTTAACCCTCAAAGGAGTCGTGACTCCCAGGTTGAGAACTGTCCTAGGGGCGGCTAGCTGGATGGCTTAGCAGTTAGGACCAGTTGCTGGTCTTCCAGAAGACCCAAGTTGGTTTCCCGGCAGCCATGTCGGCTGATCTCAATTGACTGTACTGTCAGCTCCAGGAGGACCCGATGTCCTGGCTGGCCTCTGCTAGCACACACTTGCATTTGCACAGATACACACTCGTACACATAAATAAATGACTGTTTGAGATCTTAAAAACAAGCTGGTCACATAGGCACCCACCTTTAGCCCCAGCTCCCCGGAGGCAGATGCTAAGGCAGGCGGATCTCTGTGAGTTTGAGGCCAGCCTGGTCTACATAGAGAGTTCCAGGACAGCCTGGGCTACACAAGAAGAATAAAATAAAATCTTAAGACAACAATGAGCCTTAAAATGGGCGTGGTGTAATCCTGGTCCTTGGGAGGTAGAGCGGAAGACAGGTCATCCTCAGCACCACATCAAGTGTGAGGCCGTCAAGGCTATATCAAGGCTATGTTAGCATGCTTGCACACACTTTAATCCAGACAGAGTCAGGAGGATTCACAGCCAGCCTGATCTATGTGAGACTCCTCTCAAAACAAAACAAGATGATAAATGGCCAGGAGGTCATTCTCTATGCACACGATGATTCCTTCAGTGAACCAGTGTGGAAGGGTGTAGCTGTATTTGGCCTCCATGTTTATCTTTTCTTTATTGCATCTTATTGCCATAATCCAAATATGTATGACCCACCCATTGGACGGCTATAAATCAGCGAGCTGTGCTCCTAAAATACTGTATCCATCATTTCAGGTCATTTCAGGTCATTTCAGGGCACTCTCATTACTCCTGACCGGTCATCACCCTCGGCCTCCCGCTCCCCTCCCTCCCAGCCTTAGGTAAATCTCTTTCTTTCTTTCCTTTTATATATTGCTATGTAGCCCAGGCTGGATGGGTAGCGTTACCTGTACTGACACACCTGGTCATGAGGCCACATTTCCTCTCAGTACTGGGAATAAAACCTAGGGGCTGATTCATGCTAGGCAAGAACTCTCCTCAGGGATTCTAGGCGGGGGCTCTACCACTGAGCCACGCCCCCAGCCCCTCTCTGGGGGATTCTAGGCAGGGGCTCTACCACTGAGCCACGCCCCCAGCCCCTCACTGGGGGATTCTAGGCAGGGGCTCTACCACTGAGCCACGCCCCCAGCCCCTCACTGGAGGATTCTAGGCAGGGGCTCTACCACTGAGCCACGCCCCCAGCCCCTCACTGGGGGATTCTAGGCAGGGGCTCTACCACTGAGCCACGCCCCCACCCTGCTTTTTGTTTTGTTTTGTTTTTAAAAAAAGAGAAGATCTTAGTATACCAGACAGGCCTTGAACTTCTGATCCTCCAGCCCCAGCCTCCCTAGTAGCTGACGGTGCAGGTCAATATGGTTGGTCTTTCAGTCAGTTTCTGAAAGAGCAATCAGAGCTCTTAACTGCTGAGCCATCTCTTCAGCCCCAGTCTTTTTTTTTTTTTGGTTTTTCGAGACAGGGTTTCTCTGTGTAGCCCTGGCTGTCCTGGAACTCACTCTGTAGACCAGGCTGGCCTCGAACTCAGAAATCCACCTGCCTCTGCCTCCCAAGTGCTGGGATTAAAGGCGTGCGCCACCACCGCCCGGCTTCAGCCCCAGTCTTTAATTCACGTTTATTCACTTTTATTGTCCTTTCTGTCTGATTTGCATGTCATAGAAATGGAAGCACACAGCCTGCAGTCTTTCGGCTGACTTCCTTCTTCCTCCGTGTGCCGTCAAGGTCCGCCTGTGTCCCAGCCCCCATTGCTATTTCATTTCCCTTCGTTTCTCAACAACCGTCTGGAGCATGATGGACCTGTGTTTTACTTCTTCATTTGTGAGCTGATCAGCATTGAATAGCTTCCATCTTGGGACTGTTACGGGTAGTGCTGCCGTGGATGTTCTTGTGGGATACAGTTGCAGTCCTGTTATCCCTGTGCCGGTCCCAGTACTCTACAGTGGTGCCAACGCCTCTTAGTGTCAGTGTTTGTTAGCGTGGCTCTGTCTTTGTGTAAATTCTTTACAATTCTGTGGGTCTGTTTTTCCTCACTCTTGGGTTTCCTGCCCCCTTTATAACTTGAATTTTATAGTCAGGTGGTGGTACACAGCTTTAATCCCAGCATTTAGGAGGCAGAGAAAGGCAGATCTCTATGAGTTTGAGGCCAGCCTGGGCTACAGAGTGAGCTCTAGGACAGCCAGAGCTACACAAAGAAGCCTTGTCTCAAAGTAACAAAATCAGAAAAACAAATTTGAATTTCAGCTGGAAGTGGTGCCATAGCCTGTAGTCCCAGCACTTGGGAGGTGGAGGCAGGAGGATCAAGATTTCTAGGTCATCCTTGGCTAATAATGAACTCAAGGCCAACCTGGGCTGAACTCCCACAAATTGTCCTTTGACCTCCACAGCTGAGCTAGGGCATGCATATCCCTTCACAATAATAATAAATTAAATGCACCAAAAACCTTAGAAATAAGGGGACTGCTTTAGCCCCTTAAGCAAAACAAAAAGTTATATGATACATAAAAGGAGGGAAGTCGTGAACACATTGTATCTGTACAGCTTGCTTGTGTTCTTACTGGTTAACATTTGGGTTCCTTCCTCCTGTGTCCCTGCACAGAACGTCCCCATCACCCCACAGGATGCTCTGCTCTTCCTGGCCACTGACCCCTCTTCCCCAGGGACTAACATACACAATCATAGATAGCTTCACTTGGCCCTAATCCTCAAGCTTTAGCCCTCAAGCTTTCTGCAGAAGCTTTTGCTCTTGTGACGAGCCTAGGCTACTAGCAAGTACCGGGCTAAAGAGCGAATCCCTGTCTCCAAAAAAACAAAGACGAGAAACATACAGAGTCTGTACCCGAGTAAGTTTTCATTCCTTCCGTTTGATGTCTGTAGTTGTCATTTTGTTGTCGGTTTGAGACAGGGTGTCACTATGTAGCCCTGATTAGCCTGGAGCTCACCGTTTAGATTAGGGTGGCCTCAAACTCACAGATTCCCCTGCCGTTGCCTTCTGAGTTGTAATTCTTTCTCAGGATTAGAGAGTCAGGGCTGGCCATCCCCTTCTGTGAAAGATTAAATAGTAAATCCAATCTTCTTGTTTGTTTTTTTGTTTTGTTTTGTTGTTTTTTGAGACAGAGTTTCTCTTTGTACCCCTGGCTGTCCTGGAACTCACCCAGGCTTCTAACTCACAGAGATCCGCCTGCCTCTGCCTCCTGAGTGCTGGGATTAAAGGCGTGCACCAGCACTGGCTGTGAGTCTAATCTTTACAGGCCACAGGCCATGTGTTCAGGCGGCTCAGCTCTCCTCTTGCGGCGTGAAACACTTGGCACAACTGGAGCGGTGGAAGTCTGGCTGTGAGCCCGAGAGCTCCTGGGATGTGAGTTGCACAGGGTCCCGCCCCCTAGTGTAGCCCTAGCGCATCTGCAACTCACAGGGATCCTCTCATCTCCGCCTAGGTGCTAACACACCTAGCTAAAATCTCCGCCCCTACTTCCTCTTCTCCTAACAGGGTCTCACTTTGAGTAGTAGGCTGGCTTCAGGCTTGTCATGTTGTTGAGGAGGACTTTGAATTCCTGATCTAATCCACCTGCCTTCACTTCCGCAGGGTGGGGATCACAGGTGTGCATGCCCGTGGCCTGTTCCAGACAAGAGAAAATGTAAAAACACTGACGCTTGGAATACAGAGCTTAAAAAGAGGGTGCTAGGTCAGATTTGATCTCACCACAGTTTGCCGACCCCTGATTTGATGGGAGCCTCACAAGTTACTTATTCATGCTGTTTTGGATGGTTATCCTCGGTTTTCACAACTGTGAAGGATATCGGTGTTGATATTCTTGTTTGTACAAGTCCCTTGGCAGAAGCTGACCTCAGTCCCTAGGGATTGCATTGCTGAGTCACAGTGAGGATATTCCTTTAACCTTAGAAATTTTGCCAGACGATATTTTTCTCTTGCAGTGCTGGGGATGGAACCCAGGCCCCTGAACATGCTAGGCCTGCTCCCTACCGCAGTCAGACCCCCAGCCCCTCCCTGGGGGATTCTAGGCAGGGGTTCTACCACTGAGCCACGCCCCCAGCCCCTCACTGGGGGATTCTAGGCAGGGGTTCTACCACTGAGCCACGCCCCCAGCCCCTCACTGGGGGATTCTAGGCAAGGACTCTACCACTGAGCCACGCCCCCAGCCCCTCACTGGGGGATTCTAGGTAAGCACTGTACTTCTGATCTGCATTTCTGTTTCTTTTTCTTTTTGTTGTCCTATTCATTAGGCCTTTTTTTTCTATTTTGTTTTGCTTTTTGCTTTTGGGGGGGGTGGTTTTCGAGACAGGGTTTCTCTATGTAGTCCTGGCTGTCCTGGAACTCACTCTGTAGACCAGGCTGGCCTCGAACTCAGAAATCCACCTGCCTCTGCCTCCCAAGTGCTGGGATTAAAGGCGTGCGCCACCACTGCCTGTAGCCCTGGCTGCCCTGTAACTCTCTACATAGGCCAGACTGGCTTTGAACTCAGAGATCTGCTTGCATCTGACTCTCAAATGCTGGGAATAAAGGTATGCATCTTTCATTAGCCCTTTTAATTAAAAATTACATGATTTATTTGTTATGTCTATGTGCTGGGTGCATGTATGGAGGACTGACAGTTTTGGGGACTGTTTTTTTTTTTTTCTTTTCTTTCACAGTGTTAATTCCAGGAACTGAACTCAGATTATAAGTCTTGGCAGCAAGCACCTGTACCTGCTGAGCCAACTTGCCAGCCTCCTCTCTCTCTCTCTTCTTAAGAGTTTTTTTTTTCTTAAGAATTTTTATCTTTGTTTTATGTGTCTGCATATTTTGCCTGTGTGTATGTAAGTACATGAGCCTGGTGCCTGCTGAGGCTCGAAGAAGGTATGTGATCCTCTGGAACTGGAATTAAGGACAGATGTCAGCCTTCATGTGGGTGCTGAGAACCGAACTTGGGTCTCATGAATTAACAGATGGTCCATCTCAAATATCTTTTCTTTCACAAAACAAAGGAAAGGTTTTAGCCAATAGAGAGGAAAATGAGGCTTTAATCTCCCGAGACGTTAGAACAGCAGAGGGCGCCAACACCACTTAGGGCTTGAGATGGGAGGAAGGAGCCAGAGGACCTGGAGCCAGGAGCTTGCTGACCACTAGGCGGCAGTGCAGGCTACGGGAGTTGCGAGGCCGTCTGGGAGTCTGGGAAAGGAGGAGGTGTGGGTGGAGAGAATGTCCTGTGTTTTATGCATCCTGGAAATAAAGAGGCATTGTTGATGGAAGGATGGGTCAGGCTGCCCCTGGCCAGCTGTTGCTAGACCGGCAGGAGTCTTCCGGAATATTCTACAGCTGAGGCGATTCATCAGTCAGCAAGCTTCAGAAACAGGGGAGGCTGTCTTTATTTATTTATTTTTTTTCATGGGAAATGAACTATCGTCTCATTCACTGTAGGCAAGTGCTCTACCACGGAGACGGAGCGAGGTCCTCGGCCCTATGCACCATATTGCCTTTTTTTTTTTTTTAATGAAACAAGATCTCACATTGCAGGTGGGGCCATCCTAGTTTACAAATCGAGTTCCAAGACAGCCAGGGATACTCAGAGAAATCCTGTCTTAAAAAAAACGAAAAGAAAGCATGTGTATATGTATATGTGTATGCGCCATTGTTGTGAGCCATCCTGTGAGTATTGGGAACTGAGTGGTATCCTCTAGGAGAACAGTACTTGCTCTTAACAGCCGAACATCTCTCCAGTCCCTTATTTTTACTGTAAAGCACCAATGGTGCACTGAGGTTTTTTTTTTCTAAGTACTTTATAGACATGAAGCAGTTCGGTCCTCATAGCATGTCATGGGGCTGTGGATGATAGGCCCAAAGACCAGACAAATCTAAGATTAGAACTGAGGCTATCTGTTTCCAGCAATTTTGTTTGGTTTATAACTATTTTGATCTATTTACATAAAATTCTAGAACAGATGAGTTACAAAGCCATCTGTAGTAATAGGAAACAAGGCAGAATTTGTCTGGGGACGGGGTGCAGGAAGTGTATTTGAAAGAGGTGCAAAGAAACCTTGGGAAGTGATAGGAACGTTTGTCATCTGATGGTCTTGATAGCTTGGGAGCATCTTAAATGATGCAAAAGGCCTGTAATCCCAGCTCTGGGTGCTGAGGCAGAAGGATTGCAAACTCAAAACCTTCCTGGGCAGTTACTGAGCAATTTTGTGGGTACCTGGCTACATGAGACCCTGTAAAAAGGAAACCATACAAGTTAAAATGAGGGCTGAGGACAGAGCTCAGTGTTACAGCCCCCTGCCTCAAGTAATCCAGTGAGGGGCTGGGGGCGTGGCTCAGTGGTAGAGCCTCTGCCTAGAATCCCCCAGTGAGGGGCTGGGGGCGTGGCTCAGTGG